ATATTCCTCATTAAAAGCCAGAAAATATTGGAAGGTGTCTGAAAAATAATTGTCCCGTTTAAAACTCCCAGTGTGCTCTTTGGCTTGTATTTTAGCAGAATGCTTTAATGAGAAAACCCATTGTTTATTTAAAGCAAAACATTCCTTGATCAATATTCCACAACTTTTCTGGTAGAATTTTTAAAAATAGCATTTTCTGCTAGGAGAAGAATTCAGAGAGCTTTCCTGCAGCACCCAAACCCACCCGCACTGGCTTACACTGTGCCGTACCGATGGCGTGTTCTCAGCTTTAGATAGTTTAGACACAGCCTAAGTAGCCTTGGGGCAAACTGTTTCACCTTCCTGTGCTTCGGTGTCTGCATCTCTAAGCTGGGGACAATGAGGATGAGCTCTTCTAGCGCTTCTTGCACCCTCTGACTGACAGGTTAAAGCTGGGTTTTCACTATTCCTATCAATACGCTTCTATGACTGCGATATGAAGGGAAGAATTTTCCCCCGTGCAGCACCAGGTCAGGCGTGTTTAAGGCTACCTTCAGTTTTCACTGAGTCAGTGGCTTTGGGAGGCTGGGCTCCTGCTCTCAGGCTTAGCTTTTCATTAGTGCTCCTTCTGATGCACGCCTGAAAGGGCAGCGACAAGCTTTCTTAAAGCTAGAGATGGAATATCCTCAGTGCAGCATCTCTCTTACAGCCCCAGAGCCTGTGAGCACGGTCCCTGCTGCACTTTTAACTGGCAGACAACCTGGTGGCTGGTAGCCAGGGACAAGCAAGAAGAGCTTCAACTCTGCTTTGCTTGCCTCGGGGCCCGACGCTGGCTTTGGGAGCCAGCTCTGGAGACACAAAAGATGCGCCAAATAACTGTCAGCTATACTAACTGCATCCCCAGCACAGAGATAAATTCTGTCCTGTGTTCTGGAGTCATAGGAAGCCCCGCGCAGAAAAGGGCTCCCAACATCAGGGCCTGACTCACCGTCAATACCAAAATATAAACTACCCAGCACACCTGACTCTGCAGCAGACAGAGGGTCCTCACCAGCACGCCCAGCATCAGAAAATCTCGGAGGAGTCAGAAAGATGCATAACATGCTGCTGGGTTGGGCCTAACACATGATAAAGGGAAATGAAGAGAAATGACGTTAAGTATAGCTTATTTACAAGGCAAAGTAGAAAAGATGAACATTTCTAGGCAACAGATATGTATTTGCATGTATATATAGAATTTGTAGGTATACGGTTTGCATATATAAATCTGTGTGTGTGTACATCTACTCAGTACAGCTAAATGTTAGTAACATCAATACTGCAAAGCATCACCGCACTAAAAAAATCCCAACAGAAGCACTTCTCTAGCTGGCGGTGAGACAGAAACGGCTGATCTCCTGCTGGGTTTGGACAGCCTAAATATAGCTCAGAAGATGCTTCTGACACAGTTGTCTCTCCTGTTTGGTTGTCAGACGTACTCTGAAGAGTACCCTGAAGAGAGGGGTTTCTGTGCTCTCAACGTGCGGTCCTTTTCCCGGTGAAGTAAATGGGAAAGCAGCCTTGAAGAATGTGAGAGTCATCTGATCCGTCAGGCTGAAACCATTAGGCAGAGACTGGGCAGACGGGGATGCTAATGGGGATTCTGGCTAACGAGACATTCAAAAATGAGGCCATGTCTCATCTTTCTCATCTCTGGTCATTCAGTTCTTCTCAGCAGGTAGGGCACTAACATTTTCCCTTCCAGCACAGCAAGGTAGCGCTTGCTATGTGCCTGCAGCAGTTATCTACCCCACACCAGCCAAGACTAAGCTGCACTCGCTCTCTGCTTGCTTGGTTGGTGAAATACCACCCCTGGGCCACCATCCCGCCCTTGGCAAGTAGTTATCATGTTAAGGCTCAGAGCTGGGCGCCCGACACCTGCAGCCTCCAGCTTGTGAAAGAGGACGGTGCAACGCTCCAGGTAACACAACAGGCAATGGTGAGTAGAGTGGGGGTTCTCTGAGTGCAGCTTGTCCCAGGGATAAGGAAAGCGATATGCTTTCCCTTCTTACTTTAAGTTGGTCCAGTCAAGTCTGATCGGGGTTTCTGCAAGGGCACTGACAGATCCTAAATCGATACAAACCGGCAGCATCACGGAGAATGTCAGTGGGTCCACACAGACTTGAGTCCTGCTCTTGAACGAGTAGGGGACACGAGCGCCTTAGCTTGGAAACACCACCCTCATTACATCGGTACGTGTACCTGCCCAAGAACCCAGCCCCGCATTTTCTGCATAATGAAAATGCCTCTGGTTATTGAATGTTGCTATTTTCGATGCACTACGCAAAGTTCAGATCCTCAGTGTTCAGGCGCAGTCTGCTTTGCCTGACGCTGGTATATACGGGTATCGGCGTATCCCCTTAGCTACAGACCCGCACGGCTGACGTACCGCTCAGTGTGTGATACCAAGTGGAGAGGGAACAGGCAGCCCCAAGGAGTTCCCCATTCATCTGCACCATTCTCAGCTGCGCTGCTGCAACCAGGAAGAAATTCACCGCGCTGCCTCCCAGCAGCTGAGCGCACGGTGGCGTAGAGGAGTTACATCTCTTTAAAACTGGCCTCGGGGTCCTATTCTTTCGCTCTGCTTTTATTAGCAGGTTCCTGGTTTTCTTAGGGCAATTTTCCCTATTTTTTCTAATTATTTGTTGGTGTTTAACAAGTACTCAACTACAATGGTTTTAATTTGCCCAACAAATTAATTCTAATTAATTCATCTAAGCAAGTAGGATGCAGTGTGCCATTCGGCTCACCTCCAAGTCTCTATGTGCCGTTGCTTTCAGGTGGCTCTGGATGGGAGCCGCTACCCACCAGGCTGGGCAGAGACCTTGCTTGCAGTCCCGTCACAGGTGATGCTCCTCTCCTAGGCTGCCTCGCTGCAGAAACTTTCCTCCTCTACCTGGGGTAGAACGAGGCCCTGGCTACGCAGGTGCAGATTTGTTATTTAAAAAGTCACACCAGCCTGTCAGCCAGGCAGGCAGCGATGCTGAACACCCTGCAGCTTGTGCTCCAGCGGGTGAGAAGAGGGGTGACCAACCTACGGCCCTGGAGCCACCAGGCAGCGTATAAACCGCTCAGGTCCCTGCTCATCCCACAGCTGCCTCACGCAGACAGCTCTGCTGCGGGGGAACGTCAGCGTCCCCAGGGCTGGAAGGAGCCAAGCTGGCAGGAGCCATTGCAGCCATCTTCTCCCAGCCCCGTGGGGGGGACCCAGCTCCATGTCCCTGTCCCCATCAGCTCCACGCCATGCCAGGACCTCGGGGCATTACAGCTAGGTCCTTCAGCTACCCCCAGCGCCCGCTCCCCTGCCTGTGGTACCTGTCCCCCTGGCTTGCCGCCTTGTTGGTATTTGGCTGTTCAGGCCAAAAAGCTTGGGCGCAACTGACGTAATGTAGGGGGGAATGGTGGCTTTACATGTCCTGCCTACTGCTTATGGTAAAATCCCACTTGTACATAACTAAGTTAGGAAGTAGTACACATTGAACTATTCAGAATAATAGGTATTTATTTTCAGTGCTATTTTCATTTAAATATTGGTATCATATATCCATGTCTGAGGTAATAAATTAAAAATAAATTCAAGATTTCAGTCCCATATTTGTGCTGCATACTTTTTCTACCATTATACATAATTTTGAAGCAAACACACATAGTCCATAATTCTGAATGCAGCTAGGAATATTATTTTAACACAGTCACTTTTTGTTTCACTATAATTTTGCTGAGAATGGTTATTGCATGATACACTTTTAATAGATGTTTTAGTTATACTAGAGTTTTCTATTAAATCACACATACCTTAGTTATAGGAAGATGGGCATGAAGATGTGCTTTGAGCCAAGGAAGGCAAATATTGATTCAGAGTGATAGCACATACTGCAGGATTATTGTCTGCCTGCACTAGAGCCCGGATCCAGCAAAGCCGTTTCAGTGTGTGCTTAGCTTTAGACATAAGAGTCGTTTCAGCGCCATCCATGGCCTTAAGCGTTTGCTGAATCAAGGACTAGCCAAGTCTGCAGACCCAAATTCATTAACTTCTTTAACTGTGTGTTATTTGAAAACAGTTTTGCTGGTTTCATATTTTGTAAGAAATTTTGTAACGACCTTCGTAAGATTTTTCGTATCAGTGAAGCACCCATGAAAGTTTCTAACCTGGTTCATAAATACACTATGAAAAAATAAGCAGCTACAATGACTTTCTTCTACACATTTTGTTAAAAGCAACACCTAGTTTGAAAAGTTATTAAAGTAATTTTTCCCATGGTAAAATATATTTAAAAAAATAAACTCTTCATTTCATCATCTTCCATCAAACATATAAGCGTGTTAAAGGGCGGGGCATACCTCAGGTATTTTCATTTATAAATGCAAGAGACTGAGTGTATCAATCTTTTTGCACTTAAATGCTGGTGGTAGTAAGGCCCTTTCAGCTAAGTCTCCATCAAGCCCAACATTAGTGAGCTAAAGAAACTAACAAACAAAAATTTTGCTTGCATATAACTACTTCATAACCCTGAATTGAAAAAAAAACCCCTCTCTGCTTAGAAAAAAACTCTTATTTAACTGCTGCCATTAAAAAAGTATACCTCACCTCCATGTTGTTTGAACTTTAATCAGTGATTCTGAATGCGAAGGCTTTAAACACTCACTAAAATTACTGTGGCATGCCATCAGACTCTTAATGTTCGTAAATTGTGCTACTCCCCATTTATATCAGGAAGCTATAGTATAGAGCTAGAGCTAATGGTTGTCTTGGTGTTAAAGGTCTATTTCCACCAGATTTTCTTTATTTGATTTTGCAAACGACTGACAGTGCTCATGATGTGATCCTGAAAAACTGTTTGGTGTTATTAGCGAAAGCTATAGTCTGTGTGAAAACTCTCCATGCTCATGCAGTGAATTGCATCGTTGGGGGGACCACGGTCCTCACTGCAGTGGTCTTGGGCCTGGCCACGAGGCCGCAGCTGTGCAGCCCACCGGGGTCTTCAGTACTCCACCGAGCTGACGATTGCCATCGGTTCATCGAATGTCGCCAACCTTATCTGCCGTGGGGTAGGGATGGAGAGAATTTCCCCGGTGTCAGTTGGTGAGTGAATACCATTGTCTATTATGTTTGAAACTTCCTCCTCGTGATCCTCGTACAGCGTGTTGATGTGCAGCAAAGGGTGGGTGGGGTTGCAGTTCAGTGCGGGTGTTGGCTCTGGCTTGACTTGGTTCAAAGTCATACTCGGCGCAGCAGCAGTTGTGGCTATATGGTTGTGGTTGCATGTGACGAAAGCCCCGGCAGCTGGCACAGTTCGGCATGCCTCAGATGAGTATAGGATCTCTTTTGCAGGATGAGGGGTGTCTAGAAGAAAGCAAAACAGCCAGTTAAAAGACAGGTAGTCTTCCACCCTTCCAGTCCACCACAGAGCAGCGTCCTGAACCAATAATAGTCACAGGCAGTTTTGCCACTGATTTCAGTGGGAGCAGGAGTGGACCCAAACGTGAGTTTTCTTGGGACCCTTTGAGAAATCCAACAGGACGGTTTCAAAACAACAGGGTTGTAAGCTCAGGGAAATAGGACAAACAACAAATGGGTTTTGTAAATCTCGCTCTTTTTTACGCATGCTCATGCTCCCTTATGTGAATGGTGTTTTAATAAAATAAACAAAAAACAACTGAAAAGTACCTTTTATTCTCCTCTACAGTCTGGAAGGTGTTTTATAAATGTTATGATTTAATGTTTTGACAAACATCATGAATGTTGAAATCCACAGGATGGAATACAAAAAGCACCGATATTTTCAATGGGAAAAAACAGTGGTTACACATTGTAAGCCACTTGTCTTTAGAAAGAACTCAGCAATTTGACATTAACTGATGTCTCTTTCCAGAAATTATAAGTCTACCTTACCTGATGGACTGCAATGTAGGTCTAACTCAAAAGCAAAGCTGAAAATTTTTAATGGGAATGGGGAGTAACAGAGCCCCAAAACTACAGTAATAATTTTTTGCCCTTAAAATATTCAAGCACTAATTTAGACAAAAGTAATTGAGACCAGAAAACCCCAGTAGTTTTGAGGAGTTGAAATCAGAGCAGGTGACTGGGTAAGGAATGCTGTAGAATAGCTCACATGCACATTGGTTGGAGGGCTCTAAGGAGCATAAGGATTTGGAAGTGACAGAAACTTTTATACCTCAAATCACTTCTTTGCTGGGCAGTGGGGTGACGGTAGCTGTCAGTCTGTCGAAGCCCAGAGGGAGGTCTTAGCTTGTAATGAGATGAGAGCCATTGCTTTAAGTACGTACAAATCCTTCTGTAACTTCAACTGCATAGTGCTTCTTTCTTATGTCAGTAGCTTACAAAAATAAACAAGAAGATACCTATCTGTCTATCAGTTTATCTACTGATCTATCACTTTTCTTAGTGCTCACATGACTTTCCCCACCACTCTAGCACCTGACATTTATGGATATATTTGAAACACTCCTTTGAGGTAAGAAAGGGACAGGATTTCCAAGACACACACTGGGAACTGAGGCACAGAAAGAGCATCTGCCATGAGGCCACATGGGAAGGGAATGGCAGAATTCCTGAATCCCCGACCAGCACCTTCACTTCAGACCATCCATCATCTGGTCCACCTGAGACAAAGGGCAATTTAAAACATCACTTGTGTGAAGGACAATATCAATGATCTGAGTTGTGATGTCCTAGGTGACACACACATGCCAAGCTCTAAGAATTGGTAGTTAAAATGAATTTTTTCTACAGGGAGCTTTAACTGCCATTAGCAGAGTTTCTCACACACTCCTAAGAAGTGGCTATTACTGGTCAGAGTACTGGTCATCTACTGTGGCAGTTTCCATATGACTTGAAAATAAGGCAGGTTTGAAATGTGCCAGGTGCTGGTAGAGAACGAAGGGTATCATGGAGGCCAAACCCTCCTCATTTGTGAAAATCTGCTTACATCTGAAAAATTACCTGCACCAACAGCCTGCAGGCTGTTCCACCCTGCTCTACCTGTAATAATGCTTATCCTCCATATAACTGATAAAGAGAGAGAACCCCTGTTTCTGAGGCCTGCGAGCCCTAAGATTATTAGCTATCCCAAAATCTAGCAAGATAGGTCAAACAGTTCAGATAAGCTTCGAGTTTCTGAAGATTGCTATGCAAGTTCTGGACTGTGGAGGTGGTAGGGGCATTAGGGCATACTGTACCTTTGAGAGAGGAGGTAACGTGTACTACAACATTCTCTTCCTGGTTTAAAAATCCACCCTCTTGGCTTTTTGACGTAGGCATCGAGGGGATGGCTTGAATCTCTGGCTTGGGTTTTTTGCTACTAAGTATATACGGATGAACATCCAAGGAAAAGTGTCGTGTGTGTTTTTTTTCACTGCTCGTGCTTGGGATGGCGTTTGGCTCGGTTTTATGAGCGGACGATTGCTGTGAGGTTTTTGCCGCAGACTCCAACAAAGGCGCTATAAGGCTATCTGTTGCTGTTTTCCTCCGCACAGGCTTCGGTTTTTCAGGTTTATGGTTTTCAACCTTCATAATGGCTAACTGTTCCTTGAATGGCTGAGGAAGGGGATTGGTGGTCGGGATCCATTTCATCTTCTTCCTTGGTCTCTTAATGATGAGCTGCTCATTAGCATCAATGTCTGCTGGATCAACGCTTGGGTCTATCGTTTGGATCCCTGAATCACGCATGGTTGGAGTGGCATCATGATTGGACTGAGCCAACGCTGCAAGCAGCTGGCGTACCACATTGTCATACATCAGATCGCTTTCATTTGTAATAAAATCCAGACGGTTCAGTGATTTTATGTGGTCCCGATTTTCATTGCAAAACATGGCCAAAATATTGATATCACAAAACTGGGACTTCTGCCACTGTTTCTTGGTCTTTATTCCAACTTTGTTCAGTTTATCAAATATGAAGTTGGACTTGCGAAATATGAAGAGGTGAATTAAGTTGATGAGGATTATCAAGTTCATGAAGCAGAGGAGAACGATATCTACACCAGCAATAATCCGCTGGAGCTGGACGGATGGCAGTTTGCAGTTCACTCTGATGTGCAATTTGGAGCTGCTCGTTTTGTCTGGAGGCTCTCCTAGCGCACATGTAAATTCATTTTGCTTCTGTGTAGCATAGTAGGTGGATAAGTATGTAATTGGTATGATGCTTAAAAAGATGATGAACAAATGTCTCGCAAGGTAAAGCTTGGCTAAAAAGTTACTTCGTCCTCTCCTTTCCAGGTATTTCTCAAACAAGTTCTGTTCAGGGCTTTTTTCCTTCTCTGCATTCTCAATGATTTCTCTCTTCTCTCTCTCGGTGATCCCCGGGCCTTTGGACTGAATCTGTTTCTCTATTTTTGGTGCCCGCCCTTCAGCTGCTCGGTGGTAGCAGTTATCGATCTCCTGAAGCAAAAAATTAAGCTCTGAAGTCAGTCGGGTGGAGGCCAGAAATTCCCAGCCCAGAGCTGGAATGTACATTATCCCAGCAAAAGCCAGCAGTGCATAAGGTAGGAACTTATGCTCAAACAAGGAGGGCCAGTGGCTGGCATCAACTCCTGGCAAGGCATCTTTTAATTCTGTCCAACAATATCCTCTGGCATACAAGGCTTGATCGCGGGTGAAGTTGTGTGGTGTGTAACAGTATATTGGCTCCTCTGTATAACAGAGAGAAAAGTCACTGCTGTGCATTTAACCTACAAAAGGAGCTCTGGAAAATAAACATTTCAAATTATATCGATTTTATTTTACCGTATCTTCACATGACCGTTAAGCCGTCCACGTCTGTTAGACAGCTCAGCCTGCACACATCTTCAAAAGCCCCCCCCCCCAACTATTTACCTGGAAGTTTTAGAATGAACCTGAGCTAGAAATGTCAGCAAGAAGTATGTATTTTGGTTTAATTACCTCTCTGAGAACAACATCCTAAACAACTGTGACCTAAACTCTCTAAAGCTAAAAGACCTGATAGCTACTATACAGTAGGTGAGGATGTTATGTGCAAATGCTGAAAGGCTCATTTAGGTAAAATTTAAGGTTCATCCCAGCTAAATACAAAAATGTTAGATGCAGCAAAAGGAAATGGTTTTAATCCTTATTAACAAAGTCTACTCATTGGACATAGCAGAAAAAATTGAAACTTAGAGACATACAAGCATTTAGTTAACTGTGTCCATCCCAGCTAAAATTCTTGAATTCAAGTGTGACTGACCAGGACAGAATCTGGTGTGCTTTTATCACTATGAAAATTTAATTCTGCATTTGAAACTGTAACGTTGTTTTTCACACAAAAAACCACGGTGGACCAAGAGAGCAATCAGGCAAAGTAATGTGCAATTAAATGGTGGAACTTGCTGTCATACACTATTATGGAAGAAAAAAACACGGTGGACCAAGAGAGCAATCAGGCAAAGTAATGGAAGGAAAAGCATAGCAAGGATTATTAAATACACAGATAGTGATGCAGTTTCTCTCTCGGGACTTGTTTAAGCCACAGGCTGCTGGAGGTTGGAAAGGTTTATCAAAGGAAGTAACACCATGAGCTTGTCTGTTTTAACACTCCTTCCTACGCATTTGCTTTCTGCCATCATCACAGACAGGATGTTGGGCTAAGAGGAATTTTGTATTGACCCAGTAGGCAAGTTATATTCTTATACAATTACATTTTTCTATCAATATATGAAAGTAAGACTAAAAAACTTGTGAAAGCTATCATAGTATTAATTGCTGAAAGAACAATGACCATTATCAAAACACCTCTTTGAAGAGGAAGTCCGTATTTTCATGTTTTGGCAGGTAGAACAAAGGGAATATATTTTACAGTGTTCTGGTATACTTTTAAAAAACTTGCTAAAATGAGACCCACAGGAAGAAGGCATGTTCTCTTGAATTGAAAACCGCTCAAGAACACCAAGCTTGCTCCAGTTTTGGAACGCAGTCTACAATTCAGATTGAGAACAGCTCACTGGAAGAGAGTGGTGGTACTGTTCTCTTAATAATACAAATCATGAAGAGAAATCATAAAATGTCTTTTGACAACAATAAATATTAAAAAATAATATGGAGGCAAAAAACCATAATCCTTTTGGCTTAACAGAGGACTCCTTCCTTGACCAACTACTTTGCATATGCAAGCAAATTGAAAGCATTTACTACTTCTTTGGTAAAATGTTGAGGTGTAAACCTCTTTTGTGACCCGCAGAGATCTACATGGTAAGGACTGCACAAAAATTGTTTTGTTTTAAAAAGTGATTCAGTGAGGATTCTTTTCTAAAAATACAACCAATTTAAACAGAGTTGATAGAGTAAATGATGCTACCCAAGACAGCATGTAAAGTGAGTTAGCCCTGCAAATTCTTTAAAATCACTTTTGAAGACTATTTTAAAATGAACTAACTTCAACTTCAGAGGAGAGCTTAAGGCACTCTAATGTTACACAGCTTCCCATTTAGACTATTTTTATGTATTTACAGCCATGTATTACATGAAAAATGCTCACTGTCTCTCTTCTTTTCAGTAATTACATGCCCTCCCAACCCTACCCATAAAGGCATGCATGTAAAAAATTACAACTCCTACTATCAGAGATTTTCTGTATGATTTCCCAGCAGACAAAGTAGATTCCTACATGAAAATGTTCCCATGGGGAAAAAAAAGGCAAAGAAGCAATGGTGCGTTTCTCATAAGCAGAAATATTTTGAACTGGGTGTCCCTAAGCTCAGTAGAACCTGCCGATATGAAACCTACTTTCCTGTGACATACATGGGTTCATTTCTCCTACGTATCAGCACCATGAATACTTAGGAAGACAGCAACAAGTATTTATACAAATCATCCATAAGGATTCTTTCTGGATTCATGTATCAGTGGCTACTACCAAATAAACTGTGAACAGTTCGCTTCACCGAGACCTGACAGCTAAGGTGACTTCTGCCAAAATTGTATATATACCACAACAATCAAATACATATTTATTTTATAAATTAGAAAATGAAACAAATAAAAATGTCTTAACATTCACATTTATGTTGGACAGATCACTTACAGACTAACTCTGCACTCTGTCCATTGCCACTGCTTCAGGGAATAAAGTCTGAAGAGCTTCACAACTCTGGTTTGGACTGAACAGCTTCATTAAAGGCAACTTCAAAAATGGGGCTGCCCAGCCCAGTAAAGAAAGCAAATGTCATTTTACAGGAATTTGTTTGTTTTTCCTCCGTTAAACATTTTTTAAGCTGCTCCCATTGCCTAGTAAGTTGTGAGAGATCTCTAATTTATTGGGATAGCCAAGGATGGTATCCCATTCTTATTCGATGTTTTGTTATTTACTGACGCTAGTCTAATATCTTCTTTGCGTATTTGTTAAATTGACATGACATTCATTATATGCCATGTAAATCCCAACACCATTCAGATGGACCCTGTCCTCAGTGAAGTCAGTGGGATGTCTTATAACTGATTGAAGTGGGGGCAGTGGGGTTACAATGCAATTTTATTCAAACAATATCTTCCAATACGTTTGAGCCATACTCAACCATCAGTGAATACCACTAATTTTGGTAAAGTTACTCCACAGGAGAATTTAGCTTAACCTTCTCAGCATAGGACTTGGCTCACAAAGCACAGCATCAGCTCATTCATCTAGAAAACGGTCCAGACAATGGAGAAGAGAGAAAGACCCTTCCAGACAATGATTCAAAGGAAAAGACTAATTTAGCTATCCCCTGGAGGAACCTCTCTTCATTCACAAGAGGCTGCCAAGCAAGATTGCCACTAGGTTTGAGTTAGCTTTTGTGAGTGCTTCTTCTTAGGCGATGCCAGCATTTTGCCTTGCATTTAATCTGACATTTAACACCATGAAGGTGTTTGATCCCATCAAAGTAGAGCACGGACCTGCTTCTCCTCTACTGCAATCTGCGTCAATCAGGAAGAAATAAAAAAGAAAAGCATCATGTCAATAGCTAATCTGGTTTGTTATGAAAGATGGCGGTAACATATAGCTGGATCTCAACATGCAGACCTGATGAGGATGGGGGAATAACAAGTTCTTCTCACACATACAGCTCGCTGACTGCGAGGGCCCTACTTAACGCACAGTTTCAAGAAGGCACAGCAGAAGTATTTTTTTATTTTACAGTGTTCTCCTGATAGGTAAGTAGCATTAAAAAAAGGCTGTAAGAATGTTTAAATCATAGCTCTGACATTGGATCATGCAATAAAAATGTATTTGCTTTTAACTTTGCATTCATAAACATAGAAAGTTTCTACCGATATTGTTATTTCACTCTGAAAAATCCTCAAGCAATTTAGGAAGTTTCTTTTTCATATAACCGCTCCAGCCACCATGAAATGCAGCTTTTTCCCAAGAGTCTGCAGTTTAATTGCATATGGCATAACTGTTCAATTGTGTAGGAAAACGCAATAGAGTAAGATGCTGTAAGGAAAATATTTTTAAAAGCTTAGGGGACATTATTATGGCTGAGCAGATTGGTCGTCTTCTCAATATTGTCTAGGCTTAAGCCCATAAATATAATCTATCCCTCCACTCTCCTTGATAACTACATTCTTGTGAGCCCAGGAGACAGAAACTCCTACCAAAAAAAATGGAGAGGGAGGTCATCACGTCCAGAATAACCTTTTGCCAGTTCCAAACAATATTGAAAAGGTGGCTCAGGATGGACATGTATCTGTGATTTGCACATGTGTGCATCCATACCGAAGGCAAAAAACCTAGTAAGATAACGAACCTGCCATCATTACTGGTGACTGGAATACTGAACTCAACTTTTCTGCATTAAATGTGATGGGCTCACTGCGACATTTTTAGTTCTGATGCTCAGAGTAAAATCTCAGTAAGCTCGAAGTCTGAAGGTCTGCCCTTAGGTCCACCTACACAAAAGTGTTAACTGCAAGCCAGAATATTAAGTTCAACACAGTTTCAGAAAAAATCACCAGGAATACCCAAGAACAAATCCTGTCTTCAGTAATACTTACCTACATTCCCAGGAAATTTCCTTTTGAATAATTTTTAAGAGACTAAGTAACCCTGTCACTATGCTAATGCTGTGCAGAAATAATTATTCCATTGGAAAAAAAAGTCCTTGATGTTAATATATTATAAAGTATATTATACATTATCTTATACTGACGAGTATAAAGATGCATACTAGGAAGATTAGCTTCCCTTTTTTTCGATACTATTAGAGGATCACGGGAGCACTACATCAGGTCTTTTCAACAGCTGTACATAAATACATTTTATCCCGCTCACTGTGCACATAAGTAGCTTCTAGAAGTCCTCAAAACTAGTCTCATGGCTGAGGTATGAGAGACATCTCACTATATTTTTCAAACATGCAAAGCAGATGAAATAGTTGATGCAGAATTACTTAGCCAGTTGTGTAATATAATTGATTGGGTTATGCCACTTGAAAAATTAAAACCCCTTGACAGCCAAGTTTCTTCACGTGCTCCATTCTGTACCATCTCATCCCATCAGTTTAAGTACTACTTAAATGGAGAAAAATGACTTGTAGGAAGTATTGTGGCACAAAGGGCATACTTTAGGGGAACAGAAGAGAGTACATGGTTGCAAGAAGACAGACAAGGTAGGGAGAGGGATGAAGGAAGGGACTGTGCTCAAAAAACTCTTTATAAAGAATCTAAACAGTATGGAAAGAAGGAGTGAAGGC